ATCGACAAGTATTTTAATATGGGTTGCGTGACTTTCGATCGGCTTGTATCATGTGTTAAGGACAGATTCGTGGAAGGTCGAAGCCTTGAGACAGAATTCTCGTCGGTTGACACCAGGGCTGTTACTTTGAACAGGAGAACTGCCGAGACTGTCGCAGGTCGAACGAAATTGGCAGGAGCCGCGATAATAAAGCTGTTCCCATTGCTACTTAAGGCTTTGAACGGGATGTTCTTTTGTTAAATCGTATGTGGTACCGCCTGATTCGACTTCTAATGGTTAAGTGAAGTGTTTTCTTCGCGGTACGGTCTGGATTCGTAAATATTATGAAGACGAGATTCGGCTTCAAAGGGTTAACCAGCTGATTTTCGTAATGGTGAGGTGTAGTGTTTTCTTCGCGGTACGGACTGAATTCATAAATAATATTCAGACGATCTTCGGCTTCAAAGGGTTAATGAATGGTTTAACACTTTCAAGTGCAGGGCTAAGTCTTAAGAGGCTTCACTAAGTGCTCGCAGGTACTTTAAGAGGCTGACGATTCCAGTTTAAGGTACAGAAGCCGGAAATTAAACAAGGTGTGAGTTCTGTCTGACTTTCTTACTCTATAGTTTTCCAAAGTTACTATCTTGCATTTGGGGTGGGGGTGGAGCTTCAGACCCCGCTTACCCTTTGACCTTATGACATCACTCCCTTTAAAAGAAGTGCAAGGGCTGTGCCCACTTGTTCCCCACCTGAATCGTCCAGTGTGTGACGTGGCGGTCTGCTTCGTGTTTCTCCTGCGACTGCTGTGTCGTAATTTCCGAGCGGTTCTGCAAGGTATCGCCGTCTTCGGCAGTGGGGCCGTCCGTGGAGCCTCAACGTAGTGGTTGGGAGTTGTAACCACCACAGCGATTTGCTTTGTTGATGCAGATTTTCAGGCGCGAAGGGTGTACACAAGTCTGCAGAGAAATCGGCAGGTGGAAAGGAGGACAGCGTTCCATTTTTACTCACAGGCGTCTTCGTTCTGTTCCCTGTGTGTTTGAGATGACGTAGCGAAATGAGTTTAAATGCGGTCACAAAACATTCAATCTCCCACTCTTCTAGCTGTTTGCTTTGTGTGGACGAACTACAAAAGGGCTTTGGAGGAGTAGATACTATGATAGTTTTACTTTCTTTGATGATGTTTGCTGTTTTCAGATTGATTGCTGACAGCTCCTGTCTTGAAAAACTGTTGGTACACTCAGACGGACAGGAATTTTATGAAACCTGTAGGTTCATTGCCGTGTTCACAAAACCCCTTATTCTGAGCCAGATTAATTCAATCCACACCCCTAAACCTTCTTCAGTAAGCTCCATTTTTTTTATTATATTTTTGTCCCATCTACGCGTCTAGGTCTCGAGGGTGGTATCTTCCCCTCAGGCTTCCTAGGCAAATTTTTGTTCGTCTTTCTCATATCCTCAATGCATTCTACATGCTACACCCATCTATGTTAACTTTTAGAATTTTTACGCAATCGTCACGTGATGCACATTCGGACGATGAATAATTTGGTTTGTAAGATTGCTAATGTAATCCTTGTACATTAATAAAAACAAAATTAAGCTAGTAGGAGAATAGCAAAGTACAATTATTTCAGCGATGTGTTGTCAGATCTTCAATGGCCTCGACTGACTCAGGATAACGTCGGAGGACATGGATTCCTATTCGAAAGTTATTCTCTCTGAATCCCTCTATACGCTCCTTCAGTTTGGCCCTAGCCTTTTGAATCATCCTGTATACGTATCTAAGGATTAATGTGGTCAGAGTTTGTGCTGATTGATGTTATGAAGAAACATGGACCACTAAAATTTAATTAAATGTTATATAGTTCTATCTTCCATGTTAAGCGAAACATTTAAAAGAAAGCACGCGTCATAAATTCTTCTCGGAACTTATTTCGATTCTTCTGGGGTCTCTGGTAATCGTGGGAGAAATCATGTTTATGTAATAATTTATCGACATTCACTGTCTTCAGTCTTACTTTGTCTGTAATGAAATCGCTGTGTGCTTTAGTCTAAGTTGCACAGTTTAAAGATCGGAGTTAAGTTTTGGTTTTTGATTTTATGGTTGCAAGTTCTCTCTGCTTCTTTTCCGGAATGAAAAACTGATTTATGCTCTGTGAAACTGCTGTCGGCATACATCGGGATTGGAGCAACGCGGAAGGTCGAGTAATTAGCGGCGAAATTTGTTACTGAATATTAATTTGAGGCCACGCTTCAGTGACCTCAATGTGTGTTTCGCCGAGTAGAGGTCGTTTTACACCTGCGTCTCCGAAGTGGGGCAGGGTAAGTAAGCTCTGGTGGTGGAAGTTGGTGCAGCCTTCGCCATATATGGTCAACTTCGTGGTGAGCTCTTCGAAATCTTCGCGTCGTAGTCGTGATTTGCGCGCTGGAGAAAGTGCTGCCTTGATGCGTTTCGTGGTAAACGCGCGTTATTGCGAGTCCATTCGTTTCAACTTCGGTTTCTGGTCGAAATGAGATTATAAATTAGTTCTGTTGTCGCCAAAATTATCAGATGTCAGCAAAGAAGCAGTTCTTCCGTGTCTGTTCCTGTATTTTGGTATTTAATCTTGAAATTAATAACTTCTGGTTGCTGATAATTGTAGCATTTGGGGTTCCCTCGACGGCAAGTATTAAAATGAGTTTCTTCCGCGTTGTAGCGTCGTTTAGTCTGGTATAAACTAGCCGGACTACAGACTACAATGCGCAACATCTCAGTAGGCACCCGTCTTCGATAATTAATTAGTTTTACCCTCGAATTATGGTTCTCGTATGATAATGTAGTGGTTACCAGTACGTGTGGGTCCTACTTTACAAGTATATATATTTTCTATAACTAGTGAATTAAAGGTAGCGTTAAGAGTGTGTTTTAAAAACTACTTTCAATTAATTCCGATAGAAGTCCCTTTGTTTCATCTGTCGATAATTTCCTTTCTTATGCTTGTATGTGTTGGTGTACTCGCGCACTCCGTACAAGTTTCGATCATTATTTTTTTGTTGTTGTGGCAGAAGTGTGACTTAAGTACTTTTCGTTTCATTGAGAGAATTAGGCCCGACAGCATGGCGGACATCGCGTTGCGGGTTTGAATCGGGCATAGACGTTTCGTGTAGTGGACCAATGCCGCGTCCAGTGACCCTCCGAATTTGTCAGCAGATAGCGAAGTGCAATCTCTTTGCTGATAACTATATTGGTAGGAGGGAGTCGTCTAGACCAGTGGTATTCAACATTTTTTGTTCACGTACCCCCAGATATAATTTCTCTTCAACTTTGTACCCCCAAAGTCGTTGGTTTATAATTCAAGTTATACATAGTATATAATCTACATCTTAAATAAATTAAATAAATTACATTACTGATTATTCAGTGTTTATCATAAAATAATATATATATTTTAAATTTCACGTACTCCCTAAGATATCTTCGCGTACCCCAGGTTGAAAACCACTGGTTTAGATGAAAAGAAATGTCGGGTAATACAGATTGGTGATTGTCGCCTTATAATGAGACTGGTAGATATTTATTAACATTTCAAAGGACCCTGCTGCCACCGTCAGGGCCCTGATTATGGAGGCAGCAAGGACCTCTGAAACTCGGGGATCTTCTACAAGATCACAAGGCGCTACAACCCAAAAGTCATCTTCATACCCTGCGCCTTGAGAACCTGAAATCTCGTCGTGTAATGCATTTGTTGTCGTCGCGTTCCGTGGCGTATCTGGCAAGCGTTTTCACAGGAATGAGGTCAGATGTGCTTTGAGAGATATGGTCGCTGCAGCGTATGACGAATGTTTATAGACAGTTTAAGACGAATTCGTCGCAGTCGACTGTTGCTAGGATCGTTGAGAGGGTTACTTAATTTGGGGAAATGTCACAGTAATGCAAACGAAACTGAACACGGCGTTAATTTTCAAGTGTCACTGGAATGGAGGTCAGGCCAAGACGCAGTAGCACTTGATTGTTAATTAAAAAATTTCATGAATTGGTGGGTTCCGTAGTTTTGGTCGTCGAGTTCTAGCTAAATAATGGAAGTGCTCCAAATGATTTTTAGACTCGTTCATTAAAATAGCCCCGTCTGTTCCTACACGTTAAACAACAACTGATAAAACCGATTTTAATTAAATTTTTACTGGGAAATTTGGTAAACAGCTGTTTAGACATTTAATTTTGTTTAGATTGGACAGTTTTAACTACCACTTTGTATAAGAACACGCGTACTTATTGAACCTATTTTCCTATATAAATATACTCTTATTTTCCGGTAATACAGCGCGTAATTTTATCGCCGGTAGCCTAGTTACATACCGGAAGACAGCCATCTTCGTACTCACCTCCACGAGAACGTAAGATCCTACTTATATTTATAGTTGCCGCTGAAGAAGGATTTATGTAATTGATGTTCCGTCGAACCATATAATTGCCTTGTGAGGGAAATCGAGAGGGTTGCAGGGTGATTTTGAACTATTTCTACTGCCTGGGTGAGACCTCTTTCCTCTGCGCGAGTGAGGTGTTTACAAACCCTGGGTATGTCTTCGTTTTCATCGGCGTAGGGTGTACTGACAGTGCGTATTCCTTGAATTAGCAGCTTGGAACAATGCCCACAGTTTCATGATAATTACACCTCCGTCTGTTACATTTTGCTCACTCGTGTTTATTAACCATAATGTTCGCGCTTGTGTACACTTCTTAGAAGTCCTTGTTGTATGAATTCAGGCTGACACATCAGTGGCACAGAGAAACTATGCAAACAGTTGGAAATTAAATGTTTTTTTATGCTCACCGTTTGTTTTATATGTGCTGTGTAGGTTCTGTTGTTAAATGACACTCATCAATTAAGATGCCCTCAATTGATTAATGGATGGAGTCATTTGTATGCCGAATTAGCACACTTTTACGTATAAGCAAGAGTGTTTTTGAACTCGATGTTTTAGCTGTGATCCTGTGATAGTTAACTGCTCTTGTAACAGACCTGTTCTGTGTTGCATTCCAGGATTCCGGAGCTGGAGGTTGCGTTGATGACGAGGATCCGACCAGAAATTCAAGGAGGTAAGGTGCCAGGACTTTGTTTTCATCGTGATGGTGCACGGGCTTACACTCGCCTCGGTGAGATTTCAGGGTATGAAAATAATCGTCTTCTGGGATGTTACGCAGTGTAACCTGATAGAAGACTGCCGAGGTCATTGCGGCCTCCACCGTCAGGGCGATGAATACCCCTGAAGACGGAGGAAACACCTCTGAAGTGTCGTCAGTCTTTTACCAGACTACACTGTGTTACAACCCAGAAGGCTGTCTTTGTACCCCTCCCTTTTTGTATGCTTCGGGGCAACATATACCTTCATCAGTACAGTCACGAAAGTGTCTAAAGAAGAATATGCCTGAAACCGGAATCCTGAAGGACCTTTGTCAAAGACCTCATTTCGTTGATGGCAGGCCCGGTGATGATCCATGTAGATCATAACTGCCGTTGGCGTGTACACCTTTTCGGAAGGGCGTTCTTTAATGTTAAATAGGCTTTGACTGGCGAAGTCTTGGTCACTGCTGAGTCGGGATTTACGTTGCTCCAACTCGCTGCAACCACATCTTTCAAACTTCGTTCTGGGGGCTGGGTTGTGATATCGCCCCTTCTTCGCCTGCGTAATGAGTGAAAGATTTTGAGTAGTCCTCATCTGTATCCGTGTTAGTTATGAAACGTCTGGCAAGGAGGAACCTTAAGCTGGTATTGACAGCTCTCTCTCTCTCTCTCTTTCTCTCAAAACTCCCTTTTTCCAACGGAAGAACGCCACCCTTAGGGTTGTCATGTTTGTTCATGATAAGTCGAAAGTTTGTTACAAGACTTATATTTATCGTGGTTATGAAAGGTCTTGTACAAGTGAGAATCGAGTACTTTTCAGTGGCAGAAATAATACGATCCCCTTTTCTGCATTCCTGGTTTTTTTTTATCAGAAGCCGCTCTGGTCTCTCCAAACACGCGATTGTCGTTTATGATATGGGAGAGAAGTCAAATATTGATGGAATGCGTACTTTTCCTCTCTGTGTTCTGCAAGGCTTTATATCACATAGTGCCGTCGTTATCGATATATTAGTATCGATTCTCAATTTCTGGGTATCCCTGTGTGTTCAGTTAGAATCACCTGCTTTGTTGCCTTGAAAAAAAAACAAACAAAGAAGTAGGTTTGTCGTTGTGGTTACTTTTATTTTACCTTAATTTATTAAATAAGAAAGCGAGTGATTGCCCTCGGTCATGCAGTCACAGTGGAGTGAGTGGTGTCATGGTCTGACCGCTCTGCATTCACCTTTGGTCCTACGCCTGTGGTATCCGCTGACCGCAGTACATCAGCATCAGAGACCGTGTAGCCAATAGGTTAGTATTGTTAACGTTTAATTTTGTGACAGTACTTGGTGTGCAATCCTGGGGTCTCTGGTTCGATTCCCGGCGGTGCCCGAATTTATAACTTGTGTTGGGCAAGGCCGTGGTCTAGGCAACACGGAGTTTTCCTCCGTGGCATCCCAACAATTACTCCATTCACACACAGAAGAAGGCAATGGCAAACCACCTCTGGATCATCTGCCAAGAACGTATATGAACAGGTCCCAGTCCGAGAAAAGGATGGAAGGATCCTGTTCATATGGACCTGTCCTCAGACAGAACATTAATAAATAAAAACTTGGTGTGCGCGTTGTATTAGTCTGGTTATGAAGGCTTTCCTCCCCAGGGTGCGGAATTTAATGAGAAATTCGTCGTGCGATATCGCTGATTAAGTACGTGGAAAGTCGACTGTGTAATGATTTAAGGAACGTACATTCGTCGTAAAAGTTTCTGGACAGAATTATCCAACCATTATCCTGGAAGTTTTTTGTTGTTCCAAGTGATGTTATGTCCGTCTGTGTAAACAGTTTTGCATATTGAGACAGTTACGTTTTAAAGGCGGACAGTTTTTTCTTCTAAACTATTAATTTTGACGACTTGTCAAAGTGTTGTGGGCAGAACGTCATTGTAACTGGCAGTGCCTGCATAGGATGTTACGAGTTAGGCGTTTAAAGCACTCAGTTCCGCCTTGTAAGGAAATCTGGGAAGGTGCTCTGAATTGCCTTGTGCCGTAATTGTCTTTTTATAGACACCCCCAGCTCCACGTCTCTGTAAGAAGTGAAAGTTTCACGGGTATTTTTAATGGCGTTTGGAAAGTGCATGTTCATGGCTTGAGGCAGCGTCAGGTGTCCGAATCTAGCCGTCGGGTAGATGGAGGCACGGATTTCGTTAGGACACTTTTACGTAATTTTCTTATTTCTAGATGCGTGTGCAGCGCTGGACTCCTTTCAGCTCATGTTGTGCTTATTTTCTCTGTGGGCAAAACTGTTCTTTTCTGGCGGTTGGACGGGGTCCTTCCAGGAAAGCTTTCGTAAAGATTGAACACAGTCGTAATAAACCCGTAATTTGCAGTTTTTCGTTCTCGTTCGTGCAGAATCGTGTCCAGGTAGGCTGTATCGGGTTTGTCCTCGCAGTCGTACACACACACGTATTAAGATATCATATGGGTCCACGGAACATAAATTAAGTGTCGGGTACTTGCATCCTCAAAGCATATTGGGACCTGTACGTACCACCTTCTTTAGCAATCATTAAGGCCGCGTTTTATAATCGTACGTTTCATATGAGTCTCATCTTAAACTGAGATTATCTCCTTAAACATATTTAACCAGTTTATATCTGTAATGGGGAGGCGTTGTGTTTTCTTTGAGGTACGGACTGAATTCTTATATGATATTACAGCGAGCTTTAGCCGCAAATGTTTAATATGCTCATTACCTAAAGAGAACTGAACGCTGGCAGAATTGGTCGTGATGTTCGGTCTTATAACGCTCTGTAGTTTTGAAGGTGGGCACCGACGTTTCAGAGGAACGTCGCCTGCGTATTTATGGCAGAAGTGAAAATGGAGGTTATATGTTTTTTTTTGAAATGTTTGCAACGACCTACGAGAATACGCGGCATCATAACCCACAAGATCGTACCCCACATTTCCAGATCAAACTAACATTAGTTTCTTCTTCCTTGGGCTAACATCCTGGTTAAATGTCCGCGTTATGACTTTTATAATAGGCGTTGATAATCACCTTAGTTATTGTGCAGCATTTGCTGGTGTCGTGGTTTTTCCCACGTCTAGCCGTCTCCGACTGTCCGAAATACGTTTAAACTTTCGTTTAGTGGTAATTAAACAGAACGAATTGAAAGTAGGCCCACCTAGAATGCTTTAAACCCTGGAGAGGGGGAGTGTTGGTTTTTCTGAGGGCGCTGCCGCGTAGAGACCACCGGCCCAAATACCTGCAGATTGATACGACATTCTCATAGGAAAACAGTCCAGAGAACCAGATTTTTGTTCAGTGTGTTCTTGTCTGTTCGCCCCTTGATCACGATCGAATCAGATTTTTATGTAATCTGGCACTCGACAATGCAGCGCGGGTGTGCATCATGTCAGGTCAAGGCACAGCGGTCTGCCTATTACAGGATCCGCCCCTCTGTCTACATCCATTCCAATTTCACAAGCGGATTCCTTTGAATATGTCATGACCGAGCCCGTTGATTTGTTGAGTCTGATGTAATCAAACGGGAAGCAGGACCAGATGAGAAAATAATAGGAACCAGCAGCCATAAAAACACCCAGAATAGCGGAGGAACGAGTGTCAGTCCTTGGAATCTTAAGTTCCTCTTCATTTCTGCCGGATGTAAGAGAGAATTCAGGTTCGCGGAAGCATTGATGAACATTGCGTGATAGGTCAATTGCGTGGCTGGCTGTGCTCAGACTGGCATGCGTGTGACGGCAATCAGACGTCGTGTCGAACACTGAACACGGTTCAGGAAGATCTTCAACAAACAATCACGATTGATTCCTTGAACAAGAAATTCGTAAGGTGTTGCAAAGGGGAGTACTAGGCAAATTTAGCTCAGTAAAGCGCTTACTCTAATGTGGAATTTAACACAATTTGTACCCAAATATTACCTACTTAACTGTGGTACCACTTTTATTATTTTACTTTTGGAATAACGTAGGACGTTTCGACTATTATGCATTTGTGGGATAGAACTTAATGGGGTTTCAGCTTTCATACCCACCACGTGACAGTTTGGTGTTAATGAAGGAAACATTCGTGAGCCTCGATAGTTCATTCGATTCCAGACCGGCTCTGGGGCCCACCCATCCTCCTGTCCAGTGGTTACCGGGGGTCCTTACACCGGGGGTAAAACCGGCCGGGGCGTGATGCTGACCACTCACCCCCATCTAGTGCCCAGGTCAAGAGGGAGTAGGAGCTATACCTCCACTCCCCCCATACGTCACTGTGGCGTGTTGCGGTACAGCTTCTTAGAATAAACGTTCTCACGTGTTCGAACTGATTGCGCCCCTGTTTCGTGATCCGGCAAATGTGTTCCGTAAAAGTTAAATTCCTTTTAAGTTTTGTGGTTTTGTTTGCCTGGAAATAGATTGTCAACAGCACATTTACAGAACGTGCCTGTTCGGCTGTAGATTCGAGATCAAAAACCACGGGCAAAGAACTGAAGAAGTCGGTAACTTTTCTCGTTTTTGTTTGTGATCGGTTTCCTGATATGAAAGCCAGATCGCTGGACTCTTGTCCGCGTGCGACTTTTCAGATCGACGTCAAATCCTTGGCCCTTGCAGAGAGAAGTCTGAATCTCAGTAACCTCATTAAGTTACTGACCAGGTGTTGAAATACGTTCTTGAATTTGCTTTTAAATGACTTTTACATTTTATAACCACCTCGCACATGACGTGAACACAATGAGAGGGCGTCATATTTAATAAAAACAACTTTCATGTGCCGCGTGTCGGTGTTATTGACAATTTATTTGCCGTATGCACTCTGGCTGAAATTATGTAGGCACTCAATCGATTGAACTTGTTACTTAAGGTTATTTTAAAGACGTAAGTGTAGACTAATAAGAACAGAGAAGGTGAAATGCCTCGTGTTCGAGGACTTTTCCGTGTACCTTCCCATGTATTCGCCCGCGAAAGAGTGAAAACGTGTTGGTGAGTAAT